TGTGATGAACATGGGTGTGCATATGTCTGTTCTTGTCCTGGCTCTCACTTCTTTAGGATATATACCTAGTAATGGAATGGCTGAGTCAAATGGTATTTCTAATCACTTGGAGAGTTTTTAAATGTTACTGGCCTTGAGTCTCACTCCCAGAAATCTCACTTTAATTGATCTGACATGGAGCCCAGATAACCAGTATTTTGTAAAAGCTTGTTCAGGCAGGGGTGCAGCTACTGGCTTAAAAGCACAAAGTGTGGGGCTACCTTCCCCAAGAGCAGCCATGATTATTTTTCCTTTGAGATCTTAATCAGTTGGAATAAGTATTTTTATGGGATTAATCCTAATGTTTGTCTCTTCTTATTTCAGGTGATAGCTGGTGTCCCTCTTAAGAAAGAATATACAGAGGAGGTAAGAGTGACTGTTGAAACGCTTACATAAAAAAAGAGTCATTTGAATCCAGTTCGTCATTGGCTTGTAGTTGAAACTGGATCAGAAAATGAGCACTTGGTCAGTGGCCTCTTAGAAAAGTACTTTCCTAGTAATCCAATTGGAAATGGGTCAGAACCAGAAAAGGAAAAAATGGAAAACTACCCTGGTGCCATTGAGTTCATTCAAACTCATGACAGCCCATGTGTTACAGAGTAGAACTGTGCTCAGTTGGGGTTTCCTAGCTGTAATCTCTACCAGAAGGTCTCTGGGGAACACAAACGGTTTGTGCTCACCTATGCACTTAAAGATTGAGGGTTCCAACCCACCCAGCAGTGCCATGGAAGAAAGCCCTGGTGATCTGCTTCCTTGAAGAGCACAGCCAAGAAAACTCAACAGAGTAGCTCTCCTCCATAACATATGGAGCGGTCATGAATTTGAATCTTGACAGCAATGGGTTTTATTTTTGGTTTCTAATTTTACGGAAACCGTTCACCAGGTATTTCTTCTATAGCACCACTAGGTAGGTTCAAACCACCGACCTTTAGGCTAGTAGACAGAGATAAACCATTTGTGTCACCCAGGTCAGAGGACTGGATAAAATCTGTTCTTTAACTCTTCAGTCTTTTGTCTCCTGTTCCCAACCCCCACGGCAGATGTTACAGCAGCACCTCATGGTCCCAGGGTAGACATAAACATGAAGCTTATGCCCATAT